GTGTTATGAACTGGCCCAGCCTGGCCTGACCCCAGACCTAACCCACCCATGTGCTGGCTGGTACTGTAACCTGGCCTGGCCTGGGTTGATCCTTGTTTCAGTTCTTGCACTTTTCTGCAGGGATGATATCCTACAAAGGAGTTATCCAAGCTCCTCTATCAAGCCTCCTCTCAGTGGCAGATCTCACACACACTGGTGGGTCCTTTGCCCAGGCTGACTTAGTCTACTTCCTGACCTGACAGGAATAGTGGCCTTGTCCAATCAACCCACACTAATTCCAGATCTTCCTATTGGATGCTACAGATCAGCCACACCTGGTACAGACTCAAATAGAGCTCTCACAAGGCTCAGCGGGTGCCAAGATTTTAGCCAAGCCTATTCTACATCTACCCTGATTCTCATTAGCACCAGTGGGTGCTGGAGTATAGCTCAGTCTGGCAGAATCCAGACCCAGTCCACACCCATGCCAAGGGACATTGCTGTCATGTCCAGCCAGAATGCTGCCCCCTTCAGGTTCTTGAACTCACCAGTGGGAACCATCATCCAGCTGGGAGATTCCGTTAGCTCCCCTACCAAGCCTGCTCCTAGCCACAGATCTTTCAAACCGCTTAGTCACAGACAATGCCTGTGGTTGCTCTGACCCAGCTCAAAATAGCCCATCCCCCATACTGACCTTTGCTATTGGATGCTGCAGCCTGACCCTTCCTACCCTACCCCTAGGCCCAACTCTTGTTGGCAGGTGCTCTAACCTAGTGCTGCCCATACTGCTCCCATCCCTGGCTCATGCAAACTGGTAGGTGTGATAACCTAGCCCAGCATGGCTCCTGCACATGCTGTAGAATTAAGGTTAGTCTGGCTCTGCTCAGTCAGCCACTCTCCAGAATCAACCTACATACTTGCCAAAAAGTGGAGTTATCCTGCCTGACCAGATTCAGGCCTGAATCATGAGCTCACCAGCAGAAGGTGTAGTTCACCAGGGGAGTTTCCCAAGTTCCCCACTAGGCCCACTCCCAGACAGATCTCAAATGTGCCGGTGGGTACTAGGCTCTTGTTTGGAATTGCCTGCCCCTTCCATCCCAGCCTTTGTATGAGCTGATGGATGCTGCGGCCCAGCCTGGCCCACACCCTATTCTTGGGCATGCCTGTGAGTGCTACCAGTTGTATAAGCCTGGCCTGTGCCTAACCCCAGTACCCATGAAAGTTGGAGGGTTCTATGACCATGCTTAGCTCAGCCCATCTCTATTCCCAGCACTTAAGCAAACCATCAGAAATTGCAGTTCCACAGGGCTAGGCCCACATATCCCCCCACAGAATCTGTTCTCTCAGACCTTGTTCTCTCTGATGCTGGTTAGTGACTTGGCCTAGCATAACATTACCTGTCTCCTGTTCCAACTCTTACTGGCAGATAATATGATCTAGCCCTGTCAGGCAGATCCTTAGCTCTAGCTTTAGTATGCTTTGGTGAGTGGTTGTTGGCTGTGATCCATGTTAACTAGCCTAGCTGAGACCTCCAACATGGCCTGTGCATCTGTCTGACCCATAAAAATCCTTTGGAGTCCCTCTTTCAAACCACTTAGTCTCAGCCCATTCGCTTACTTGTAAATACAATGGCCTTGTTGATGGAAGTCCCTCAGAAGTCATTCCTCTCCTGCAACATATTCCCTTAGTGGTATTCCCTCCCACACATCTCCTTATCCTCTTCCCTGGTCAATGCACGGACCGTGCACATGGGATAATCTCCAGGCTCCCACCACCTTCCTGGGCACGAGGCCTGAGGTGTCCCCAGGACTTGCGTGTGCTAGGATCCCATATGGCTCTGGTCGGCATTCCAGCTGCTTCACATCCAGGTCCCTAGTAATGGGCTGGGATGTGTAGAGGATGGGACCCTGCTGCCACGTGGGAGATCTGGAAGAAGCTCCTAGGTCCTGGCTTTGGATTGGCTCAGCTCTGATCATTTCTGCCTCTTGAAGGGGTGAACCAGTGAATGGAAGATTTCTGTCTGTCTCTCCGCTCTACAATTCTGCTTTTGCAATAAAATTGTCTTTTTTTAAAAAATAAAATGAGCGGAGAATGGGAAATCTATACAGTTTTTCCTTCATATGTCACATGTGAAACGCAAGGCCCAGAAAGATGAAATGATCTTGGTGTCTCTCCTCATTTTTTTTTTTCAAGGCAGTTGTAGATGAAAAGTAGGTAGAACGGGCTAAGTAACAGTTTAACAGCTGACTTTCACAGAGAAAGAAAAGCTTTAGTTCTGTGTTCGAGAGGAAATGAAAGACTGAGTAGGAGGCCAGAAGTTGAGTTAAAGAACAGACATTCCCAATTCTCATCAAAATCTCTTTGGGAGGATCCTTGCTGGTGGCAGAGGGAGCTAAACAGGGATTCGGAGGAGCAGGTTTCCTGAGAACAGAGGTCATTGCTCAGCTTTGTTGAGAGAAGAAACGAGTGAGCACCTGCATGCAACATGCTGCTTCTGCAACTTTTGTTGCTAGCTGTTCTCCTCCCAGTCAGTGAAAATGCAGGAGGTAAGAAACTGTGAGCTGCCAGCTGGAGGGTTGTAGAATGTGGCTGACCAGGCGCATCTCCTGTTAATTGATTGTTACTAATTCCTTTGTAAGGCCTAGCAAATTATCCTTCTGTGTTCCTGATAGAACACACTTTTGACTCATTCTCATGCTCAAATAAAACCTTGTTGCACCAAACTTTGATAAGGCTCCAGGTTCCTATATCTTTGCTTTAATTGCTTCACTTGAATTCCTTTCCTCATTCTTCCCTTTCTCTGAATCCTTTTGCAGCACAGGGTTTATCTGACTGTGACCTGGGTTATAGAGAGAGTTGGGCTCCAGCTACAAAGGGTAGGAGTGGAGCCTAGAATGTGATCCAAAATTTGATCAATAGACATGATGTCGTAACAGATATGATGTGTAGCCTCGTCAGAATCACTTGCCTCCAATCTCTATTGGTCTTTGGGGTGTAGATGAGTATTCAGAGAAAAGGTTAATTTAATACTCCTTGCTCATTATAGCTTTCCCACAAGACTCTTCAACTCTCTTTAAACTTAGGACAAGAAAGATGCAATAGTGTGAGGGGTTGCTATATATATAGTTTCCTTGAAGAGGTAAGAGTGATAATTTTCAATATCAGTGTTAGCATACTTCCCTTCAGCATGTCAATACCTTTGGTGGCCATTGCACTCAGGGTAGACGCTTGACTTAGTTGATTGCATTATACCTATTGACTTCCAGTCACCTTGCACTTCAAGCTGGTTGACTCTTGCTGACCTAGCACATCTATGGCTTTTATCCAAAGCCTATTTGTGTGATGGAATGAATATGCATGAACAGGAGTTGTTGGGATTTTGCCTGAGATTGCGTTGACTCTGTATATTCCTTTTGGTAGAGGGACATTTGATGATGTTGATCTTGCTGATCCATCAACATGGTTTCTCCATCTTCTAATATCTTGTTTCTTTGAAAAAATGCTTCATAATTTTCATCCTAGATATTTTCCACATCTCAGTTAGGTTAATTCCAAGGTATCTTAGAGTCTTCTCTGCTGTTTTAAACAGGACTGTACTTACAATTTCTTTCTCAGTCGCGGAGTTATTTGTGTATATTAGTGCCATCGATTATACTCATTGATTTTGTATCCTGCTACGCTGCCAAGTTCTCGTATGAGTTCCAATGCTTTCTTGACTGAATCTTTGGGTTCTCCTATGTGGAAAATGCCTATTGGCATGGATGTGAGGGGAAAAGTATCCTTCTTCACTGTTGGTGGGAATGTAGGAGAGCACAGCCAGTATGGAAATCATTATGGCGAGTGCTAAGAGAACTGTAAATAAACCTGTTGTATATTCTAGCTATCCTGTTCCTAGGAATATACTTAAAGGAAATGAAATCTGCATACAAGAAAGAGATCTATAATCTTGTATTCACAGCAGTACAATCTATAATAGCAAAGACATGGAAAAAACCTAGATGCCTGGCAAAAAGATGATTGGATTAAGAAACCGTGGTACATCTACTCCTTTGAATGCCACCCAGTCGTTAAAAAGAATGACATCTTACCATTTACAATAGAGGATCCCAATCAGAGACCGTTATACGCAGTGAAACAAATCAATTCCAAACAGACAAATGTCATATGTTCTCTCTGATATGAAGCAACCTTCATGCAAAATGCAAGACCAACAGCCCTTTCAGTACTGTCTTTTGCTACATCACAGGAGGTTTCATATTCTGTTTTTATTTAATTATTTCAAAAAAGTTTAATTTTTCTTATTAATTTTCTGAGTCATGTCACAGCAGCAGCGTAGTTTGCTTCAGGAGGATGTTTGGATTTCTTTTTCATTTCTTCAGTGACACATTAGTTATTCAGTAACATGTTATTTAACTTCATGTTGTTGTTAATTTTCTATTTTTCTCCCTGTTGTTTTTCTTTCATTGCTTTTTATTTAAGGGGCTATATAGTACAGCCCTATGTGTAGTAGCGACTATTCCATTCAGATGTGAAGTACAAAGCAGTGTGAATCCACTTCCAAATCAGTGATGGATTCTTAATGAAAATTTTGAATGTATCTTGACAACAGGATGTTGAACTTTCCGTCACTGTCTATACCTACGATGTCGGGATACATTTAAATAGTAGAATGATGGACTTATGACTGATTGTGAATGACTATACTATTGTAATGACAAGGGGGAAATTGGGGGACACATGGTGATTTTGGAGAGAGGAGAGAAATCATGGAGCCTATGGAACTGTGTCATAAAATAAAGAAATAAACAAAATTTTAAAAAGGACTGGAAGATCAAGCAAGTGAACAAATCTTATTGATCTTTCCCAATTACATATGTGCTTTTCCTAAGCGGTCTGAAGAAATTGAGGACTGTGAGCCAAGGGGCAGTGGAGACAGAACATTTACAAGTCAGTGTTGGAAAGAAAATGAGAAGTATATGATTTGGATGATGAAGATACTTGTCAGCCAGAAGAGAGCCTGAGTCACTGCACAGGGCCAAGAAAAGTTTGATTAATCTAGAGATCAAACACCAGTTCTGAGTGAGGAGTTAAACGCACAGTGAAATGCTGCTGCTGCTGCTGCCACTCCTAGTCCTGGCAGATCTCCTCCCAGGTGGTGACAATAAGGACGGTAAGAACAACTGGCAGCTGCCAGCACTGGTGCAGAGGGTCTGCATACAGTCAGTGCTGTGCTTACACCGGGGTGCTGTTCCCTCTAGACCTCTCTACAGCTCTGGAGTATCTCAAAGTGTCAGGCTTGTGGAATGCTTAGGCTGTGGGTTCTGTGTCTGATGCTCTTCAATTTTCATTCTCTCTGATTTCCTCCTGCTTTGTTCTTCTCACCATGTGATTCTTCTTTCCTTACAGCCCTCCAGGGACCGACATCTTACCATGTCATCCAGATCTCATCCTTTATAAACAGCAACCAGACGCAAACTGAAGGCTCAGGCTGGATGGAAGATTTGCAGATTCATAGATGGGACAGTGATAATGAAACTGCCGTATTCCTGACACCCTGGGCTAAGGGAAACTTCAGTGATGAGGAGATTTCTGAGCTGATAGAGCTGTTCCAGGTCTACTTGTTTGGATTCACTCAAGAAATACAGCTCCGTGTTACTGAATTCCAGATACACTGTGAGTTCAGCTTCTCCCCTGGTGTACTCTGTATGCCTTCTTACACGTTCTTAGTCTACTACTGTCTGGGATGCTTTGTTCCTCCTTTTTGCTATACTCACCATCAGATACACTCTCTCTTAGAATGTGTTCCTTAGGTGTCACCACGCCTTCCAGAATATTAGATTTTGAACTTCTCCAATCTCTTCTCTGGGAGTTCAAATCATTCTCTTGGTATCCAATCCAGATTTGTCTCTGTGTAACTTGTTCATCAAACACCTTTATTTCTCTTTACTTAGGTTGGAGTGACCCAACATGTGGCTCCTTCCTTTAACCCAGATCCTCCAACTTCTCCCTGAGCTCCTCCTCTAGATTCACTCGGAAACAGTGTGTCTTTCACTCCAACATGAAGTTCCTTGCATCTTTCCTCTTTCTTCTTATTGCCTCTAGATCTTCACCACAGTCCCTCCTCATTCATAATAAACACCTTTCCTCTGCACAAACGTTTTGAAGCTCTCTAATTGCTGCTAGTGGCTTTTGACTCACTTCATAACCTTGAACAACTTCCTCACAAAAACACATAAACTCGTACGCTTGCGCCAGCCTCTATTTCATATTTACTGTAGAGTGACTTGGTATCTGCTTCTTCCCCAGATCCCTTTGAGATACAGGGCATAGCAGGCTGTGTGTTACACGCTGGAGGTGGCGTTGAAAGCTTCTTGAGGGGAGCTTTCCAAGGAAAGAATTTCCTGAGTGTCAAAAATTATGCATGTTTGCCTGATCCAGAAGGTGGGATCACAGCAGAGACAATATGTGCACTAGCTTCCGAGTATAAAGGACTCTGTGAAATTGGGGAGAAGCTGCTCTATCAAACCTGTCCACGGTATCTCCTGGGTGTCCTTGATGCAGGGAAGGCCGACTTGCAGAGGCAAGGTAAGTCCCATCATGTTTCACTTCCTACTACCACCTGTGACTTTCAGAAGGGAGATAGCCAAAGATAGAGGACTTCCTTTGCTGGTCAAAGGAATAGATGAGGATGCTGTCCAACCTGTGGATTCTGGGACCCTATGCATTGCAATAGGATCATAAGACAACATCATTCTTGCTCTTTCTTGCTCCAGTGAAACCCAAGGCCTGGTTGTCCAGTGGCCCCAGTCCTGGGCCTGGCCGTCTTCTGCTGATATGCCACGTGTCTGGGTTCTACCCAAAGGCTGTGTGGGTGATGTGGATGCGGGGTGAAGAGGAGAAGGTGGATCAGCAACATGAAATCCTTCCTTTTGCTGATGGGACGTGGTATCTGCGAGTGACCCTGGATGTTCCTGCTGAGGAAGCAACAGGCCTGTCTTGTCGGGTGAAGCACAGCAGTCTAGGAAACCGAGACATCATCCTGTTCTGGGGTGAGAAAGAACCAGGGTTTGGATATGGAAATTTGATAATAATTTTCATAAATACAAAAACACTGGGAAGAGTTAGCCTTGATGAGAGAATAAAAATGCAAAGAGGAGAGAGAGGGGAGAAAGCAAGAAAGAGAGACATAAAATGAGAATGGAGGGGATATTCTGGTGTGCTAGTGAGTCAATGCAAGCCAGGGTATTGGCTCTATGGAATTTGCAGTGATATCATTGTGTTCTCTTTCCATTTCCAGGACATTCTGTCCCCATTGGTTTGATATTTGGGGCAATAATAGTGCCCTGTTTAGCCATTTTGCTGTTCCTGGCCCTATGGTATTGGAGGCGCTGGTGAGTATCTCCATTTAGTCTCCCTCTGTCCCACTTCTCAGTGGTTTCCACCAGTTCACGTTAACTTTATAAGAAAACTTTTCACCTTTCCTTGTCTTTCCAACTTTTTATCTCCTCTGTAGAGACATATTTTGAAACTATGGTAACACACTCTCACACACACATGTGAAGTTTATCACCATTATGATGGTTAAGCGTTCAGATTATGGGTATTACTTAATTCAACCATTTAAGTTCTGTCTCTATGAGTTTAATTCTTCACTCTACAACAGCCATGTATGATAATTAACTTAATATTTACCTTTTTGTGTCTAGCTTACCCTTTAGTGTCTTTAAGTCTTTTGTGTTGTAGTGTATGCCAGCATTCTTATCCTTGCTAATAGTGTTTAATATTCCAGTCTATTTTTTTCCACATTTTTGTTTTTCCATTCATGTTAATGCTCACTTGAGTTGCTTCAACATTTGTCCATATTGAATATGGATGCTATGGTTGGGTGTGCAAATATCACACACAGAAACATACAGTTATGTTATATATATAGAGAGTTATGTATTCATTTAAAACTTTTTTTTGTTCTTTCAGGTCATATCAGAATATCCTGTGAACTCTTTTTCCATCACCTTGCTCATTTGCAGTAAATTTTGAGATTTTCGGAAGTCAAGGTGTCATCCCAGGAATTGATATTTCATCCAAATTATTTGGCCAAATCAGATTTTTAAGATTATAAATATCATGATCTATGTACCAGAAGAAAAGTAATTGAATCTGAGTTATTAGATATGATTAATAACAGGATCCAATATTATAAACATGTATTTTATATCTTGTACTGTTTTGAGGTGTTACCTACTGATTTAAAAAATGATACCATTTTGGCTCTAGCTTATCTTTTTCATTATATACATAAATAGAGATTCAGACGGTAAATAATTTGTTTAGATTTTTTTTAATCTATGTGTTTTCAGTTCTTGCAATGTGTGAGGTGAAAAATATTTCTTTTATCTTTATTCCCAGTGTGTGGTGAGTAGCTTAATTTTAGAATTTTATTCATTTTTACTGGCAAGGCAGATTTACAAAGAAAAGGAGATACATAGAGAAACATATTCATCCTGCTGGTTTACTTCCCAAGTGGCCACGATGGCTGGAGCTGAGCTGAGCCAAAGTCAGGAACCAGGAACTTCTTTTGGGTCTCCGATGTGGGTACAGAGTCCAAAGGCTTTGGTCCATCTTTCAGTGCTTTCCCAAGCTCCAAGTATGCACCTGCATGGGAAGTGGAGAGGCTGGGACATGAACTGGTGACTATATAGCATCCTAGTGGTTATAAGGTGAAGATTTAGTCACTGAGTCATTGTGCTGGGCCGTCTTTAGCTGTTTTTTCTAAAGAGAGGATGGAGATATTAGACTTTTTTTTGCATAGTGTTCTGACACTTATTCTGATAAGGATAGAAATGACTTTTGAGATTGGAAGTGGGCTAGAGTTTGGGGAGCCAGTATTCAATGGAAGGAGATAAATTGAGCCAGAGTAGTCACTGACTTTGTTGGTAAAGAATCGACAGTAGATCTTCAGTATCTTAGAAAATCTAAAAATGCACATTACTGAATGTAAACATAAATAAATGATAAACTGATTAAAAGTAAGAAAGCAATCCCCAATTTGCAATATGAAGCTTAATTCTCCTTCCTTTAAAAGGTATCTCAACTTAAGGTCAATATTCCAATGAAAAGTATATGTAAAGTAAAATCAGGACTTCATAGCAGAGAAATTTCACAAATACTTAATCTTATTGGTTCAAATTAACAGCAGTAGTTGTTAAGTCATATTGACAATATTTGGTGAGGATGTGGTAATATTGGATACAGTCTGTCAACATTTTTAAAAAAATCACATTAACTCTTTTCATATATTAAATTTTGAATCATACTACTTCAAAAGAAATATATTAAGGTCACAAAATGGTTACAGAAACTTTCTAATGGTGGCCAGTAGAAGATTTTTCTGCATATTTTCTTCTAGTGGTTTTGTTCTTGGTCATATAACTTCTTATTTTCCTTGTATCTATTCTTACATTTGTTCTTATATAGATTTCTTATTTTTTATATCTAAAGGAAATGAAATTATCTTGTCAAAGAGATACTATATAATCATGTATATTATGGCATTACTTACACTAGTTAAGGTATGAATCATCAGTAAAAGTGCCCACAACAGATAAAATGATAAATGTGACACAATGGAATATAACTGATGAAATATTATGCTTATATACAAGAGAATGAAATTCTGTTATCTTCAGCAAAGTTAATAAAACAGTGAAAGGTCTGGGAATTTGTGTCCTAGACAATAATATTTGATTACACACAGGACTGTACAGTATTTGTGTGCAATGAAGACTTTTAAGGGATTATGGAAAGCATTTATTCATTAATGCACCAGTAATTAATGAGACAACATTGTCTCATGTCACCAGATGCAGTGGAGCTGAGTAGCCTCTGGAGTTAGGCCTGAACTTAGTTCAAAGTCCAGCTCTGCTGCTCATGAGCTGGGAGAATTTAACCAGCCACACAATCACTTTAAATCCTGGTTTCCTCATGCTTAAAATTGGTACAGCTATAAACTGAAGGTGTTAGAGATAATTTATGTGAAATTTTTAGCACAATTTCTAGCACACTATAAACCACAAACAGAAGCTTTTTTTATTTTGTATTTTAAACTGTGGGTCATTGTAAGTTAATTAAGCCAAACACAGAATGATGAAAATTGCACATTATTTCTCATACGTAGCAGAGAAAAAAAAATAATTCAACCTGAATATGGAACAGTGATTACTGGAAGCTAGGAGTGGGAGGAGCGGGTAAGGCAGAGGTAGGTTGGATGTTCATGGTGCTGCACAGCACAGTGGGCTGACTACAGTTCGCAACAATGTTATGCAGAAGCACCTTAAGGGGAACTTGAGCGCTCTCATGGTAAAGGCAGAGTGGGGAAGCTTAAGAATCCAGACCTTTCTATATGCATTGTACACATTTGCCTAAACATCATAATGGAATGTATATATACGAATATTTTTCATTAATCATTTTTTAGAAAATTTAAATAACCTTGGGTCACTAAACATTTACCATATATATTAACTACTACTACTACTACTAGTACACATAATACCCTACTAATATATACACTTAAAATACCTAAGAAACTGTTACATATCATTTAAATAAGCTAAAGAGAAATGAAAAACTCTTGTACAAAATTAGCAGACAGGACGTTTCTTTTTAGATTATATCCCTGCTGTAACTTTTTTACTTTGAAAAACCAAGTCGTCTGAAGCATATTTCTAGGGAACTTTCCAGTTTTAGAAGCAGGCTAACCAAAGAGGATCTGCAAATGTAACTGCAGGACAGACTCAGGGGAAAGCAGAGGAGGGAGGATTTCTTCTTAGAAGAGCGCTGACCACAAGTAGCAAGTATTTTCCAGCAAAAATATGGTTAGGTACTTAAAGTTTTCGGAAAGCAAGGAGGAAATAATTGTTCCATGAATTCTTTCAAACATTAATAAAATTGTTAAGACTTTTTTCCTTGGGATTTATTTTTTTGAACTTTTCAATAAAGAAGGAATTATGTTAACATTTTGCTAAATAATTTTGAGATGATAGCAAAGATTCTTTTTTTCTACTTCATTTAGTTGCTTGTGATGATTTGTTGATTTTGAAACCTCAAAATCGAAAACTGGTGTGTTTTTTTACATAAACTCATATAATAGTATATTGTCCTGTGGAATCATTGTTTTCTTTCTTTTTTTTTTTTAAAGATTTATTTTTATTATTTTTTATTGGAAAGGCGGATATACAGAGAGGAGAGACAGAGAGGAAGATCTTCCATCCGATGATTCACTCCCCAAGTGAGCGCAACGGGCCGATGCTATGCCGATCCGAAGCCAGGATCCTCTTCCGGGTCTCCCACGCGGGTGCAGGTTCCCAAAGCTTTGGGCCATCCTCGACTGCTTTCCCAGGCCACAGGCAGGGAGCTGGAAGGGAAGCGGGGCTGCTGGGATTAGAACCGGCGCCCATATGGGATCCCGGGCGTGCTAGGCGAGGACTTAACCACTTGCGCCACCGCGCCGGGCCCCATTGTTCTCTTTCTTACACTTTCCTACACTTTCACACAGTCTCTGTTGTCAGAGGCATCCCACACACACATACAATACCGTTTTCCCTGAAAGCAGAGATGCTAACATCACCGACTGCAAGATTCGAGACCATGATTATGATATGGGGAAAGATGGTTCCATTGTCATGTACACAATGTGATCCGCATTCTTGGAAAAAAAATGAGGCTACTGTATGATCTATGAGTCAGTGAAGAATTAAATAAGAGTAAATAAACTATTTTGAAGAAATGAAAAATACAAACAAAAATATCAAAACCCCTGAATTGGAGCAAAGAACAGTACTGAAAGGGCTATCGATCTTACAGTTTACATTAAGATTGCCTTATATCAGCGAGAAGACATAGTATTTGTCCTTTTGGTACAGACCCATTTCACTGAGCATAATGGTCTGTAGTTGGGATCATTAGGTTGCAAATGATACAATTTCATTCTTTTTAATGGCTAAGTGATATTGCATCAAGTAGATGTACCATAGTTTTTTTTATCTAGTCTTCTTTGGAGGCCATCTGGGTTGTTTTCATGTCTTTGCTATTATAGATTGTGGTGTATAGAATTACAGATAACTTTATTTTATGCAGATTTTATTTCCTTTGGATCAATTCCTAGGAGCTTGATTGCTGGGTCATATGGCAGGTTTGTTTTCTTTCTTTTTTGTTTTTTAAGATTTATTTATTTTTATCGGAAAGGCAGATATACAGAGAGGAGGAGAGAGCGAGGGAGATCTTCTGTCTGATGGTTCACTCCCCAAGTGGCCACAATGGCTGGAGCTGAGCCAATCCGAAGCCAGGAGGCAGGAACTCTTCTGGGTCTCCCAAGTGGGTGCAGGTTCCTGCAGGTTTTGTGCGGGTGCAGGTTTTGTACCATCCTTGACTGCCTTCCCAGGGTACAAGCAGGGTTCTGGATGGGAAGTGGAACCACCGGGATTAGAACCAGCACCCATATGGGATCTTGGCATGTGCAAGGCAAGGACTTTAACCACTACGCTATTGAGCCAGGCCCATTCGACAGGTTTACTTTCAGTTCTCTAAGCACTCTCCATATGCCTTCCATAGTGGTTGTACTAGTTTACACTCCCACCAACAGTGAAGGAGGATACCTTTTCTCCCCAAATCCATGCCACTAAGGTGTTGTTAGAAAGTTCTGAATGTAGGCCAATCCCACTGCAATTAGGTGGAACCTCATGTTGTTTTCAATTGTATCTCTCTGACTGCTAGGGAACCTGTGCATCTTTTCATGTGTCTCTTAGCCATATGAATTTGTTTGTTTTGTGGAAAATGTCTGTTCATTTTTTTTCCCCATTTTTCCACAGGGTTGTTTGTTTCGCTGTCACTGAGTGTCTGAAGTTCTTTGTAAATCCTGAATATTAGTCCCCATTCAGTTGTGTAGTGTGCAGATTTTTTCCCCATGCTGTTGGTTGCCTTTTTACTTTGTTGATCATT